ACGGTAGATGGCTTTGACTAGCTGCCTTTCCTGTAGTCTATTAGGCCCGGCATGGCCAGGTGGTTAGGGCACTCGACTCGCATTCTGCGGGTCGCGGGTTCGAATCCCCGTCCCACCAAACATGCTCGCCCTTTCAGCCGTGAGGGCGTTATAAAGTGACGGTTAATCCCACTATTCGTTGGTAAGAGAGTAGCCCAAGAGTTGACGGTAGATGGCTTTGACTGGCTGCCTTTCCTTTGCGCGAAATTTATAAAGTAACGTATTTATGAGTTAGCTGCTTTTGAATGAATTCTTGACCTGTTAGTTTATCTTGCCGAAATCGGTTGAAAAATATATAAAAAAATTTACTATTTGAGAATACAACATATGTATAAAGGCTTTAGTAAATGATCAACTTGTGTATGTTTTGTGTAGCGCAAAAAAAAGTACTTCATCCCATTAATGAGGATGTGAGTTGTGAAGTCATCCAGCTAATTTTGTCTTTCGAGTTCGTCTTAATCTTAAAATAACACGGCTAAATGATAAGCGTTTCTCACAATTCTAGATTCTTCAGTGAATGGGATATGAATGGTCAAGGCTTTGAAGCTTATTGTTTGGCTACTTACTTCGGATTTGTAAATGCACTTACTCCGTTCTCAAATTTTGAAACTTTGGTTTTACAAGCAGTGCATTCATTACATAGGCTTAAAAGATGGTCACAGCAGATAGTAGTTGTTCCTGTGCGAGTTTCGCACAATAGTTCAAATGCAAACACGTACAACGAATATAGAAATACTTCATCAGAGCAGGGAGGGAGAAGCCCTGCCCTATTTTGGTATCCTCCCCCGCTTGCAAGAATCTTTTATAGGCAGTATTTAGTAACCTCCGCACAATATAATTACAATGAGATATATTTTACTCTACGTTTGTCTGTCCGGCTATTTGTACATTCTTTCTTAGAAATAAAAGCACCCCCTGTGGCTTAGCGGTAAATTTCGAATGCCTATAACGATAAAATTCTGATTTCGATACTAGGTGATGGGCAGAGTACAGATAGCTAGATGTGCAGCTTTATTCCTAACACCATCTGACATACAAAATTAGAAATAAATATCAAACATTTGAGAAACTGTGTTAGTCTAGAACCAGCCAACTAAATGCTTGTTGTTGTTAATTAAGGATAAAACAGGTTGCAACTAAAGTGTTTTTAATTTATTCAAAATAATACATGTAGAATAGAATTAAGTATGGTAGAAAACAACAAGTAGGCCTGAGATTAATATTGATCTGTATATTTCCCGAACTTGTTTAAAGCAGTTTATATTATTAAATAAACAAAAAAGATATTAAAGCTGTAAGGAATAAATAAAGCGTGATTTTAGGCCTAGAGCCAAGACCAGTTAAGACTTTTTTTAAAATAATTTTAGAACTTTTTCTCTGTAACCTAACTCTTTGGTGTGAATATTCTTAAAGTCGAACCAAAGTGTTTGAATGTTACTTAAAGTTTTACCTTGCAAAATTGAAATCTAATCATATGTGTAATAAATGGGGAGGGCAACTAAAACTCAATTACATTTTAGAAATTGTAGGCCAACAACGACTCGGACAGTATTTGTAGGTGTCTTTGTTTAACTTACTGATTAGTGCGATTTGAACAAATCTTTTGGAAGGATTGAGTGATACTCGGGAACCAATTTTGTAAAGGCTTTGACAGTTGTAGATACAACTTAAAGCTACGTTAACGATCTCTGTATTAAGAATGTTTTATGTGAAATATTAACGGATTCGATGGAAAGGTTCAATGTATCGTTATTATGGAGTGTTCGAATAATTTTTGATTAATAAATGTAATTCTAGTAAGCTGTGAAATACTTGAATCTGGACCATATTAAGAAAATCATTTTTCGGGCGTGATAAACATAGAATATAGTTAAGGTAACGGCAGATATGATGAGATAAGCTTTCCAAAAACGGATTACATACAGTCCTACAGAAAGTATCCGCGCACCTTTCAAACTTGCCATATGATACAACCGTGTCTGCGGATTTACAACGCTAAAAACCGGGTTTCGATACCCGTAGTGGGCAAAGCACAGGTAGTCCATTGTGTAGCAACAATGATGGCTAAAACACAGATCTGTCCACTGTGTTGCAGTTCTTCCTTAACCAGTTTCCACAGGGATTTAATCAATGTCTATGGAAACTAGTTAAGGAAGAGCTGCAACACAGTGGACAGATCTGTGTTTTAGCCAGCATTTAATCAATGTCTGTGGAAACTGATTAAGGAAGAACTGCAACACAGTGGACAGATCTGTGTTTTAGCCAGCAGCTTATCTTAATTATGAGTGAATACATTTTTAATCACAGATATGCTTTATTAATCGTTCTAATACTTGCAAGTTTCATGATACATGATTTAGAGTAGAACTAAGTTTACAGTTT